AAGGTGGGGATAGAGGGTTGGGGGTTCCCCTGGGTGGGGAGACCCTGAGAGTGTGGGGGTATTGCCAGGGGGCAGCACCCCAAAGACAAGGGGCATTGGGTCCTGGGAGGGACACGGGGGCCAGCGGCAGCGGGAGACACCGGCCTGCAGAGGCTGCTCCGGAGCTGGAAAAAGAGCTAATTCCCAGGACACCAGCAGGAGGAGCTGCAGGGGTGAGTCCCGCCCCGTTACAGGGTGACAGATTGGAACTTTGCAGAACCTTACAAGAAACCACCCTTGGAACATGCAATTAACTGTCTGACCCCAACCTCTGGAGTCTCTAAGAGGAAAGAATCAAACTTCTGCATCTCAATTATCCCAGACATGAATGTAAGGATCTAAATTGTTAGAAGACCATGCACAGCATCCTTTTGTCCTAGTACAAGGGACAGAAGCATGGATGAAGATCACACAATTTCCCCTGCATTAATCACGCACCCTCAATGAATGCCATGCATCATGGCCATCATCCTGCCATACAAGGAGGACTGGAGGGAAGTCTAGGAAATTTCCAAACTCACAGAAGCCTCTGTAGAGCCCCCTGCCCAACCTGATGGAAGGAGCAGATTCTGGAAGTGGGGATTTTACCAAAATCCATCACCTGGCAACACACAACACAACTGCAGGAGGCCTCCATTTTCCTTGCATCAGTGTATACAGTGGCTTTCCATGAATTAAATGATTATTAATACAGAAGCTATTTAAACTTTAAAGTCAAGAATAAATATTAAATGATTTTAAAAAGATCTGGTAAACAGTCATAATCAATTTTGTTATAAATAACCCACAGCTCTGTCCAGGGCAGCAATTATAAAAACAGAGCTGTGTAAGAAATGAAATGTACATATTTTTATACTGCAGCTGCATCCAAGATGTTTTTGATCTTAAGATTCACCAGTGAGCCTGGAGCATTGCCCAGTCAAATGGCTTAGTTTTCTTACTGGCTTCAGAGAAATATCCTACCAGGATGAAAATGGGCAAGCAAACACAAACATACACTATGGTAACCAGATGTTCTGATTTTATAGGGACAGTCCCGATTTTTGGGTCTTTTTCTTCTATAGGCTCCCATTACCCCCACCCCGATTTTTCACACTTGCTGTCTGGTCACCCTAACATACACATACACACACACATACACCCCTTTTACATGAAGCCCTAGTAGTAGTTGATCACTGAGATGGCAACGCTAGGAAAAGCGTCTTACCCTCTCCAGAGGATTTTGTTAATATGAAAAGGTTTTGTGGCATTTCATTCCAGTTTGCTGCAGCTTCAAGCAGAATTCCTGAGGTTCATGTGTAGGTCATAACATTAAACATTCACTCGTATTCACTGCTGATCTCAGAATATTCTGTGCCTCCCAGAAGATGCAACTTTAATGGTCCCTTTTGCTGGGGAAGTGTTTTCTACAAACCCAGGGCACCACCTATTGGTCAGTCCAAATTCACTTTTCATTTTACTTAAAAAAATAATAATAAAGTTTCAACTATTTCCATATAAATAACCCCCACTGGGGGCTACTATGAATTTCAAGTTCTCTGAGCCAGCTGCACTCAGAACATTAGTATTATTTATTTCTATTGTGGCAGTGCCTAAAGGATCCCAAATGGATTAGGGCTTTATTTGACTAGGCAAAACACAGACAAGCTCCAGAATGCTCACAATCAGAGCCTAAGATTTAAACAATATGCAACTGGTGAATAAACTAACACTCAGGATGGAGGCAAGACAAGGTAACAGAGTTATAGTGATGTCAGTAGTCACAGGTCGCTACTGTGATCTGTAGACATCTCAGCAAAGGTAGGGATTTGAAACAGGCTAAGGCAGCAGCTTTGTGAATTGTATTGGAGAGTTCTTCCCAAGCCTAAGCAGCAGTAGGGGAAAAATCACAAAGGTGCTTGTGGGAATAGCACACAGGCCGGCAATAAATGCCATCATTGTCAGCAGAGCAAAGGAGGGAGGGGGTGACATTGTGATAAGAAATAGTTTGTTTTCTGGTCTCCAGGGCTAATCCGCAGCCTCTGTTTGAATTTTATTAACCACCATAAAGCAAACAATTTTTAAACCAGCTGTTCGTAATACTCTACTTAAGTAGATGATTAGTGCAGATGTCGGTTATCCTGATAAGGATTAAAATCTGTATACCCAGTGTTAGTTTATCAGGGTGACTATATTGCTGAAATCATAGGGGGAAATTTTCAAAGGCACAAATGGCATTTCTGTGCCCAATTCCCACTGCCTGTAAATAGGAGTTAGGCGCCTAGCTGCCAACTGTGCCTTTGAAAATCTTCTACATAATGTTCTTTATGCATCCCACTCTGAAACTGCTAGAGTTATCAGCTTATCTTTCTGCAGATATGGTTATCTGGAGAACACAAGAACCTGTTTAATAAAGTGTGAGGCTTGCATTTGAATTTTAAAAAAATTCAAGTAACTGGAAATTAAGTAGACATCTGATCTCATGCATATTCCACATAAAAATACAGCACATATCCTTCTTTAACATGATCTCTTAAATACTGGAGACATTTAGTTCTCAAGGCTCATTTAGCTGTTTTAGTGCCTATTTAGCAACTTAGAGAATCTTACCCCAAAGATCTCCAGCTAGCATGAGGCAGACACTCTGTTGTGTTTGTCAGAACCTAATTAAACCTGCAATTTAGGTGAGATCATCTTGAGCTAGGTGAAGTTCCCATGGAACAGTAGAACATCCCCTTTCACCACCAAGTCTTGCTCTACATTATTACTATTGATCTATTTTTCTCAGTTGCAGGTTCACACTTTGCAGGGGCGGCTCTATGTATTTCGCCGCCCCAAGCACGGCAGTCAGGCGGCTTTCGGCGGCATGCCTGTGGGAGGTCCGCTGGTAACGCGGATTCGGCGGCATGCCTGCGGGAGGTCGCCAGTCCCGCGCCTTCGGCGTACCCGCCGCTGAATTGCCGCCGAAACCGCGGGACCGGCTGACCTCCCGCAGGCACGCCGCTGAAGGCAGCCGGACTGCCACCCTCACGGCGACCGGCAGGCCGCCCCCTGTGGCTTGCTGCCCCAGGCATGCGCTTGGTGCGCTGGTGCCTGGAGCCGCCCCTGACACTTTGCACTTACAAGGTGACTTGCAGTGAGGGATGCTTACAACGAATTGGGGACAAAGTGCATTCTTTTGCTCCACGCTGCGGGAGAACTAACTCAAACAAGTCCCGATGCTTCCCTCCCACAGAGACAGGGCCGGCTCCAGGCACCAGCCCACCAAGCTTGTGCTTGGGGCAGCACCTGGAGGGGGGCGGCACGGCGCTCCGGCCGCCGGGGAGAGCGGGGCCACAGCCGGGCTCGCCGCCCTCCCCCCGGCGCTCTGGCCGCCCTCCCCTGCGCCCTCCCCCCGGCCGCCGGGGGGAGAGCAGCGAGCCCCTGCCGGGCTCGCCGCCCTCTCGCCGCCCTGCCCCCGGCGCTCTGGCCGCCGGGGGGAGAGCCGAGCCCCCGCCGGGGCTCACCGCCCTCCTCCCAGGGCTCCGGCCGCCCTCCCCCCCCGGCCCCCTCCCCCTGGCCGCCGGGGGGAGAGCGGAGCCCCCGCCGGGGCTCGCCGCCCTTCCCCCGGGGCTCTGGCTGCCCTCCTCCCCCCCGCAGGGGGGGTGCGGCCGGAGGCTTTTTTGCCTGGGGCGGCAAAAAAGCCAGAGCTGGCCCTGCACAGAGACCCCACAGGGAGGACTCAATGCAGTTAACAACTCTGCAAGGTTTGCCCTTCTGGAGTCAAGGTCACATGGGAGGGGTTTGCAGTCATGCAGAGATGGCATGGCTGCAAGATCCTCTGGGAGAGCACAGCCCAAGTATCAGAATCCTAAGGCAACCCCCATGGCTGGACCTTTCCTCTCCATTTCCATATCTTTTTGGTTATCTCTGCCTGACAAAGCAGACAGGAGCACCTGGCTCGAAGATGTTTTCTTCAGGGTTTCTCAGTCTCCCAGCGCAAGCCATCATGGGTACACTGCAGCCGTCAGCATGCAGGGCCTGAAGCTCTGGAAGTGTATAATGTGCTGGTGTGGCGAAGTATAAGCCTCTACATTGAAAGGAAGGATGGTCATGTAGTTAGGGCACTAGCCTGGCATCCAGGTTTAACCTGGGTTCAATTACCTGTCCTGCCCCAGCTTTCCTGTGTCAACCTTGGGCAGGTCCCTTGGTCTTAGTGCCTCAGTTCCCCATCTACACAATGGAGATAGATTGGGAGTCCCTATTTCACAGGGGTGTTGTGAGGATAAAGTTAACAATGATTGTCAGGTGCTCAGATACTACAAAAACCAGGGCCATTGAACTACCTAAGAAAGAGAACTTCTGTGTTTGTGTCAAGTATGAGGAGCATCCCCTTTCCCCTAAACCTCCTCTTCACTCACAGACATAATACTCATTCCCAAGATGCACCAGGACAGTTACTGAGACGTGTCCTTAGTTAGTTGAGTGAGCACAGAGAATGCATTGATGAAGAAAAGTAGGATTTATTACACTGCATCAGACCATTCATTCAAGTATCCTGCCTTCAGCCACATCCAACACCTGATGCAAAGCTTGCAAGGTGCACCTAATCAACACTGCAATGTTTAGATGGAGAAAAAAAATCCTTCCTGCCCCTCACGGTGATTAGCTTATACTATGAAAGCTGACATTTGGTTGCATTGTTATTGTTACAAGGGCTGTAAATAGTGAGGATGCATTCAAACTTTCAAATCCACTGACAGGACCTAGAGAGATATAGTGAGTTACCCTTGCTCCATCTGTAATATGCTGGTAGTAGTAGCCACCCGCAGAAAGAGCCTTAACTGCACAGCTTTAGCCTGAGGATATGTGAACTGTAAGGGCACATTCATTAATATAACAGAATTGGATGATATTGCCAATACTATACAGTTTCTGTATTCAATGAAACAGAAATTAATTCTTGCACAACAGTTGTCAAAGTAAGACTGCAGCATACACACCAGGAAATGAGATACGCTGTCTCCAGCCCACGCAGTCTAAGCCTGTTGGGGTGCTCTGGGAAAATGGATGCAACTTCAGGGGAAGAATCTCAAAGGCAACTGGAGAAGTTATGGACAGACTCATTCTAGCCTGCAAGAAAGAAAAGGAAAACAAAGGCGACATTAAGCTTATGTACCCAGAAGTACGAATTATGGGCTTCATCCTGAAACATTTCCTTCCAGCTGTAGTGATTGCTAGTGTGAGTAAGATAAGGATTTGCAGGATCAGGTGATTTATAGTTAGGGAGATGGGTCTGTCCCATCAAAAAAAGCCTTTTCTTTAAAATGGAGATTCAAACAGTGATGGAGAGGACAGAGCTTCAAGGTGACAGGGACAGAAGAAAAGGTTAACTGAGCCATGACGCCGTCTTGCACAGACAAAATTTTAATAGGTACCCTGTCATTCTTAACTAGCATCTGTTTTGCCCTAGAAACACATGAAATTATTTCCCTTCTGTTAAACACCTTGTGAAGGAAAAAGAAGAAAAAAGACAAGAGATTTCTTTTGAAAACTGAGCAATATATGGACTATCCCAAATATGGACTAATTCATCCCATGAAATTTTTACCCAATAAAAATTAATCAGAGCCTGTTTTGCCAGTGAAAGCAGCTTTCTCCATGGATAAAAATGGAAGAGGGACATTCACCAAGAGAAAAGGCAGTTTTCACCTGCCCAACCCCCTCCCCCGCAAAAAAATCCTGAAAGGAAAGTTCATTTGCTTTGTTTATTGCTATTGCAAGAAAACCTTTTATTTTTTTGTAACTTTTTCCATAGCAAGACATGTTCTGCCCGATCCATCCCCCACTGCCTTGAAATAGGAACTAACAGCTGTCAACTTGAACTTGGTAATGGAAACAGGATGTGGTAGATTGAGCCATATTAGTCTTAGAATGGGTCCTTTCTTCCCAGTAGAATTCACACTAAAGCTCAGCAATTCAATAGGTGGGGAGGAAACAGACCTGTAGGACCCGGCCATCATGATATGCGGTGAAAGTATGCTGAACTCCGTATAAAATAGCATAAATAGATCTCATGAGATTGAACAAGCAGCCCTTTCGATCAATAGGATGTGGAAATGACCTGCTGGAGCCAGAACACTCGGTCCACTAAGGAGCCAAAGGAATGCTGCAAACTGAGTATCCCTCTACTAGTTCATCAGGGAACACAGATGACATGTACCATGCTACAAATTGATGAAACCCTATCACATTATAGATCATCCAAGATCTTAGCACAATATACAATGTGATCAAAGACACCAAATGCTGGAGTTACTGGAGCACAAGCTAAGTTTGCTTTCATTGCATATTTTTTTCTGTTTCATTTTTATTATTTCTCTATCTCGTATCTCTCGTTGCTGGGCACCGGGTAGAATATTAGTGACTGCAAGTGTAAATGAAATTAATTTGACAGCAGCAGGCCAGAAAGGGTTGGTCTCATGGGTATGGCAAGCCCCCAGCCCACTACCATTACTGTCCTTTTCCTTTACTACTTCTGAGCTTTTCGTAGCAACATAGTCTCAGCCATCACCGAAATAAAGGTCTGGAATACAGAAATCCAGTATTCAAACTAGGATCCTTCTCCTTTCCTGCTAGTACACTGGTCTGTCACCACAAGCATAATCTTTGCTTCCTTGTTCACCTACAATACCGTAAGTAACCAGGGATGTCATGCAGACCTGGCTTCCTGCCAATGGCTTCTTTAAGAAAACTGGTTCTTAGCAAAATGACTATGTTCTTCTGAAAGAAAAAAAGCAAAGCAACCACACTGCTCAGGTAGCTGAAAGCGATACTATTCCGTTCCAGTCCACGGGGTTTACTCTATTGGAATACAGAGAACAGAGCCAATGTTTTCCCACCAATCGCCATCTCCAGTGTAACAGAGTAAATCCTGTGCAAATTAAGCTAAGCAGCATCTGTTTGTTTAGACAATAACAATGAAGCCCCACCGGGGGCACACCCACTTCAAATGACAAGACGGCGCAAAATAGCCAAAGCACAGAAATGCAAATACCAAGCATGATGTCTATGATATTTAGTTGTAAACAGGGTAGAAGGCATTATTGTGCTGTGCACACTACAATTTCTGTTACAGCAGAAGCTATGGGCCAAATACTATACTAACTGCTCCTTAGAAAAATGCAAGCTTTTGCTTCAGCTGGGCGCTTCCTATGCCAGCAAGCAGTTAAATACCCCCCCTAAGGAATTCTATATTTGGAAAAGGCCTTTTACCACATCCCCATCTCTGTGATTCTTAAGATGCACAAGAGAGGCATCTTACCTGGTCCAAGCTCTGCTCCCAAACAACTTGGTTATCCTCCCAGAGTGAACCTGATACAACCACAATGCACGTGATCTGGCTATAATCACAGATCTTAATAGAAGGATACCTCTGTGTGTTAAAGGTGACACATCCTCTTGTACAACATACAATGCACGTTTTTGCACACTTGAACAATTCTCTGGGCCAAAGGCTCTCCCCATTTAACTGACTACTGAAGTTAGTGGGATTGACAATGGTGTAATTTGGGTCTGTATGTGTACATACATTTCCTGTAACATGGGTGCTATATTTTATTTGTTACATTAAGATAGGTTTCCTTGTGTTCTATGTAGAGAGTTTAGCTGGTTAGCAATGTAATGGGAGATTACAGCCTTAAAATGTTCTGCATGTTATTGATGTTGATTGTTAAAACTATAATAATCTTCTTCATTCTGCTGTTTTCAATTGTTGCTTACAAGCCTAAGGGTTTGTCTGCACAGTGGGTAATGTGCTCTATAAGAGTGTGATTTCTAAAGGCACTAACATGTTATGCATCAGTTGGTCTCTGTAGACCCTGCTGGGGTGCACTGAAGGTGCCCTAGCGCGCTTTGATGTAATACTGTTTCAAACGTTAAAGTGCACCAGCAGGGTCTACACAGACCAATTAATTTGCAACACAGTGTGCTCTGGAAATCACACCCCCATAGTGTGCATTATCCCACAGTGTAGACATACCCTAAGTTTCCGTTGTTTCACACATGTAAAATGCATGTGTTTGGCATGAGGCTCTGAGGGGGACACTGACAGGAGTCTACTTAGCAAGGTGAGAGATCAGATTTGCTTTTTCCACTGTTTGTTATTTCCAGTGCAGAATATAAAATGGAATTGTTTGGCATAACCATCCTCTGCTGTCCCATTTCTGGATTCCTCAGAAGTCCAGCAGCAAGAGACTTGGGTTCTGCTGAATTACCCAGAAGCTGTGTTCTACCAGATGCACGTTTGACCGCAGTCAAGTTCAACTGTCAGGGTTTAATGATGTGTTGAAGTAGAGAGGGGAAGAGAGAATGACTAGATGCTGCTAAAACAGCTCCTCCAAAAGAATTCGGAAAACAGATTGGGGGGGGGGGTCACAGATTTGGATTGCCCCTAAAGAATCAGTGGACTACACAGAACTGTGGATTGGACACTGATTTTGCTCTAGTCTTCTGAATATATGATTGCATTAAAATACATCTATAACACTCCAGGCTGCATTGAGAGACCCTGCACTATGTAAATGAATGCAAGTCGGTGGCCAGCCAAAATGAAACCGATTTACCAACAATGGTGTGAATTTCTCTCATTCCACTTCAGGCAGTGTTAACTTCAAAGGCTAGCTGGGACCAGTTAAATGTTAACACTTTAAAACATGAGATTAGCAGATACTCAGCTTGTTATGGGTGATATTTCATTGTAAGTGACAGCTGAGTCCAGCTTCATGTTTGGACTCTGGGGATTTATATAGACTCCCCCCATTCAAGGCAGATCAGTATCTTACTGGACCTGAGCAAAACAAAGACCAACTGTGACAGACTATACACCTGCGTTCACACCCTACTGTAATAATTTTTGTACAAGGTATGTTGTGTGAGGTGTCATTTGAAAACTCAATTTGCTGATCAATAATATCATGGCAAAATCCGTGTGGCAGCATTATATGTGAAGCTATAAACCCAAAGCTGAAATCATGAATAAAAGTATGTTTTCCAGAGAAGTCTGGGGAGTGACCAAACCGTTTCCTCAGAGACAAAGGGCAAGCTGACACCACAGACAGGTGTAAACAAGTGGCCATTCTTTGGCAGAAAGGGGGCAGGGGCAAAAATCTACAATTTAGCAAAGAAACAGCATGGAGTTTCTTCCCACACAGACTGCCTGTCGCCTTGCTCCCAGCTGGAAATATTTTTCAACAGGCAACTGAAACTCTTAACTCCAGAGGCAAACACCCAGGACACCCCATTCTCTCTCCCTGCCCATTTCATTCACTGCACCTGAGGTAAGGTGACCAGACAGCAAATGTGAAAAATCAGGACGGGGGTAGGGGGATAATAGGAGCCTATATAAGAAAAAGACCCAAAAATCGGGACTGTCCCTATAAAATAGGAACATCTGGTCACCCTAATGTCCTGAGGAGATAAAGGAAACAGCTGTTAGACTCTGGGGGAGGGGTCCAGGTCCAAAGGGTTTGGTAAGTAAGATTGCTAATAGCATGTGGTGAGAAAACCGTTTTGAATCTGATATAGTTTGTTAAGTTAGGCACCAGTAAGTGTTTTATGTTTATTTTTCTTGTCACCATTTCTGACTTTTACGGCTCATTACTTGTACGCACTTACAATCTCTCTCTTTGTAGGTAATACACTTGTTTTACTCTTTTATCCAAGCTAGTGCATTCAAGTTAAAGTGTCTGGGTAACTCTGTTTGGGGTAACAAGTTGTGCGCAAATTATTCCCTTAAAGGAATAACGGATTTCTAAGTAGCCCTTATACTTACACAGCTGATTGCAGTTTAAAGATAGCAGCAGAAAAAGAAAGTGGAAAAGTTTAATGGAGACAGTGTTTATTGGTAGCAATAGTTTTCAGCCTAGGGAGCAGATGAGTAGAATGAAGAGCATCTGGGCCTAAAGGGAGAAGTGAAAGATGATGAAATAATTCATCGCCCTTTCTACAAGCTTTAATATTTTAGATGCTGGCTATCATTTGTTGTAGCATTAATTACATTTCCACCACCGTCCACGCTGTCAAGCAATTATTTTTTAACACATTTTACTGCCTTTTGTTTAGAATGAAGTCTATGCAAGTCTGAAAATCATTTTTCCTCTTGAAAACAATCAGTCATTTGCCCAGTATTTTAAACAATGCTGAAAATAACACCATCGTTTTTACTAAAAAACATCAGCAAGGTCACTGTACATCGTATGCCCAGAATGTTGTCTTCTGAGCCAGCAGCATCACTCACTGTCAACAGAACCTGCCCATAGTGAGCCTGAGCCCCCATAAGGTGCTGAGCACCCTCACGGAGCTAAGAGTTTACAGCGTATCATAGGATTGGCCCAATATTTATTAGGACCCAGCTGTGGGAGCACCAGCAGATGAGCTCATGTTGTGTGGGCCTACAGAAATTCGGCATGCTGAGTTCTTGTGAGGAGAGAATGGAGGATAATTTTTCATCAACTCTATTTTTAGAATCAATCTGGCTGTCTTAATCATTTTAAGGTAGATCAAATATAGGGCATAAGGCCCCCAATCTTGCCATTATCCTCCATTCTCTCCTCACAAGAACTGACGGAAATGCTGAATGTTAGGCATTCAAGTAGTCTCACTGACTTCAACGGGACTGCTCATGTGTATGAAGTTAAGCATAGGCTTAAGGGTTTGCGGGATCAAGGCCTAAATTCTCGAAGAGGCTCTCTTTAATACAATGGCAGTCAGAGACATTTTATTAGCATTTCTAAGAGTCTACACAGAGAAAGGGAAATAATAAATGCAGCAAACTCACCAACACACAATCCCTGACAGGAGCTTTTTTATTTGAAAACCTATATCTTCCAAAGCTAGGCCTAAAGTGTTTCCATTTTATTAGCAGAAAGCTGCATACAGATGCCTCCTTTCTGAGCCTACTTTATCTCTCTCAACATATAGGCTAAATTCTGCTCTTGGATACACACACGGCTCTCACTAAAGTTCATGGAAACCTTGGTCTTGCCTCCAAGAGTCGAGCAGTGTTGTCTAAATGAGTCAAAGTGGCAGATGGCCTTTGTCACAATCAGCAATAGCACATTTCCTAAAGACACTATCAATGGGCAATAATCGGAGCAGTTTTCAAACCAACAGTATCAATTTACAGGCTCCCATGGAGAGTTTCTGTCAAGCGTTTCTTGCACTCCTTCCCTCTGGGAATCAATGGGAGTTTTGCCTGAATAAGGAGTGCAGCATTTGACTCAGAAGTTAAGGAACGGGGGGGGAGTGACTCTCTTTGAAGAGATGCAGCAGCCCCCAGGGAATAACACTGCACAGTAACAGATTTCATTAGTGTATTTTTATTGACGTTAGAAGACTGATTTGTTCCTCCCTCCTTCCATCTCCCCGCCCGCCGAGAGAAATATTGGATGCTATCGCTCCCCATCACACACCATGTGACAGAGCAGAAGCTGCACGCTTTTAGCAACAACAGAAGCCTCCTGTCTTCAAGACAGTCACTGGGCTGGTGAGAGTTTAATTTTACATGCTTGGTTGCCACAGACCAGAGGCCCAAAGGGAAGCAGACAGAGCTGCCGCGAGATGCAGCCTGAAGAGAGAAGAAGATGACAGCAGAAAGAAGCAGCCGGAGAGGAGGAGGAGTACAGTGCCAGAGAAGAGAGGAAGGATGGTATCCAATTGCTTACTTTTAACTGGTCCTCTGGGAGGTTCCTCAATTGAATCTCTCTCTCCGACTGCGTCTCCTTCTCTAGATTCCTTTTCCGATATCTCTCCAGCCACATGTCGTCACAGCTGAAGCGCTTGTACAGGGGTTTGAGTCTCTTCCTCTGCGACATCTTCTTGGCTTTTCCATCTGGGGTGAGGAAGGGGAGCATCCAGACTTTGCTCTCAATGCTGGAGAATGGCCGTGGGGACAGCGTGATCTGAGGGGACCTCTTTTTGCGATGCAGAACCCATTTCTCACTGGGCCTCTTTTCAGGTGGCGTTTGACTTTGCTGTTGGGGATCCTGTGTTATAAGCAGCAGGTGAAAACACAGGGTGGTTTTTTATCATGACTGAATGGCAAAGCTCAGTGCCAGGACCCAGAACCACTTGGAGGGCTGAGCCTTTACTTGCGCTCTGGAAGACTGAAATCCCATCCTACCCACCCCACCTCCGCACACAAACCTGAGAGCCTGACCAGTGCAGCAGTGATTGCATCGTATAGAGGGAACTACCAGGGTGTTGCACAGATTTGATTTCTCTCGTTTATTTTAAAGGCCCAGCAGAAGCTTAAAGCTGAAATTGGGTTCCATAAGTGGGAAGGAAGGAAAAACACTGTGGCGTTAAAACAAAAATCACCTAATGGGTCATTTGCTGGCTTTGGAAAAGAGAGTTAATGGGGAAAATGATCAGTGATGTTCTGAGGCTGCCAAAATTTTCCCCTTTTAAAATACCATACAGTAGCTGCCTCACACACTATAGGCCAGATTGGGACAACAAATGATAGCCCACATGCAGGGGAAGGAGACAGTAGAGGAACCTTGACTCACTTAGCCAGGACTGCTCCAGGGCTTTCAGCGTACTGTACCCTGGAGCCGCAGCTTTGCTATCCTTTGATAGAGTGCAACGCAGGTTCCCTTCTGCCCTGAGCGATACCTCCCTCAACCCCCACTAGCCGAATGTGCGGCCTCTGCTCCCTGCGCACAGCCACCAGGGAAGCAATCATCATGTATACTCATGTCACAATCTAGTCCTGTGGTTTATTACAGTAGTGCTACCAGTAGGATTTAGGTCACTGTGTGCGTGCAATATTGCTTATAAAGGTGTCTCTGGAAATGCAGTCATGCCCTGGCTTGCCTGTCTGTGCTTTCCCCACAGCTAAGGTACTTAGCTATGAAAGGTATAAGAACCCCCTGGATGTCTGCTGGTCTGACACATGAGCCCAGTGCTTCTGACGTGGCACTTCATGTTATCAATGTTACTTGCCTGACATTTAGCTGAGGAATTAGGAAGTTGGGGGGATTGCATAGGTTTTGGGTTCATTCCCTTTCCTTTTCCATGTGCTGCTGCGTGCACACAACCCCCCCCCCCCAGCTTTTACACAGGAACTATTTGAAAATGGAGATATCACAAGGCATTTCACCATTAATCCACGTCGTATTGATGGAAGTTTGATAATATGTAAGGTAAGAGATCAGAGACACTAGGGCAGGAATCATCTCAGAGCAAAGGAGGTGAAGTACATCCTCCATGTCAGGGAGGGTTGATTTCTAGAGTGACTGGGGTCTCCCTGCTATCCCCCAGTTTGTTTGAAGAACTCAAGTATGACAAACTTTTTTAAAAAAATAGTAATTTTCCATCTGTTCTTAAACCAGGTCCCACATAAATAGCGCTGTGCCAGCTCAGTTCTCGCTTGCAAGTGGCGTGATGCCACAGCCTGGCAACAGTATACATCCTTACCAACACCAATGGGAATGCAGAGAGGGAAGTGTCTGCCTGAAATACATGAGGCCCTGACCCCAGTGTCTCAAGGAAGGGCCGCAGAGGGGATGGATTGGGACTGCCTTTTATTGCCTGCTGAGAACACAGTTACATAAATAAGTGAAAGCATGTCAAAAACAATCAGATTGATTAAGTCACTCTAAGGCCCATCTAATGTGATACTCTGGCCTCAGGGCAAACTATCAGCAGTGCAGAACTGGGTCACTCTATACTTTCAGCATAAACTTTTCTGTCTTAGAAACAAGTTTGAAATTGTTAACAATTTTTGAGGGGAAGTTGGGGGTTTTAGGGGGATGGGGTTTTTTGTTTTTTTTTTACACAAGAATTCTACATTTATCCATCTGTCTAGCCATCCCTCCAGTTATACCACCCACTAATCAGTTACGGGGGAACGGGGGATGGGGCGGAGTAGTCTTTTAATCTATTGTGGACTGTATTTTCTGACATTTTTATATAGCAACAGATGTCCAGAAGTATAGTCCTGAATATATATTTAATTGGCAAACCCATATTGGAGAGACTTAATTCTATTATTTTATTACAATATATATGTCATTAACATTTACTTTGTTCAACACCTGTCTTGGATATTCAGAGTTCCCCTGTGAAAATCACCCTGCATGTTGAACCCCCTTAGCAATAATGCAGGGTTCAGGGCTACCCTCATTTCACAATGTCCCAAATCAAACCACAGTGCCTAAAATAAATCTACCTTGGTAGCAGTCAAAGGTCCTATGTACTTTCATGTGTCAGAATTCATATCTTGGAAGCTAGGACAGTTACTTTAATTTCTTTAAAACAATATAACTCCACCTATTCATATTCTGCAGTATGAAGAACAGCCACCAAAGGGAGGACTAAAACTGCTCCAAACCATCCAAACCATGGCCTGGGAGCAATTTTAATTTCCATACTTCCCTTTCAATTATTTAATTAAGCCCCAGTTTTAAGTAATTATTTATTTGCTCCTAATGGTTGGATTTCAGAGTTTAGGCTCACACAGTCAAGGCTTTACATGCCTTCTCTCTCCATCCCAACTAGATGATCTTTGGGATCGTTTACCAGTGCTTTTGTTCAGCCTCCAAAAGGCTCTCATCTGTTGGCAATGTGTGTTAACAGCCCCTTAGAGACTGTTTCTTGAGTCAGCTATTTAAATGTTTTGGAGAGATGTGGATTTACCCTTATTTGCGGAGTGCTCGGAGATCCTTCTGTTACCTGAAACATATTGTATTTATTACACATTTTGTGTGAAGGAATTTATGCTTGTGAAAACAAGGGTCCTACAATACCAGCTAGAGTAAGGCATAGAGTACTTGGGGATGTGCAAATTCCCACACACTGCTCTTCCAGTACTGTGCCCCTCGTTGTGACATGTGACCAGCCTCCTTTCTCAATTTCCAGGCAGCATTAGCAGCAAAATCTTGCAGTTGTTCAAACACAAATGAAATGTCCCCTGGGAGGAGGCCAGGCAAACTCATTTTTATACATCTCAAACTCCGATTTTGAACTGGCACAGCAGCAGAGAAAGATCAATGCTTAGATCAGCATGCACCCACACAAGGGCCAGCAAGAGTCCTTTGCAAGGAGTCACTTGCTGAGATGGGATTGACACAACAAACCCTTGGTTACAGAGCGGATCAACAAGTTTTAGACTCAGAACGGTGTGCGCGCACATTGGTCAGTGCAGGTGGACACGACAGGAAATCTCACATCTAAACCCTTAGTGATGCTGGTGCTGAAAATACTGTTCAACAAAATCACGTTGCTTTTTTCTTAAACAACACCGAGTTGTAGCAACTCCTCTCAGCCTCAGCATAACTGTAAGATGAAGCTCACCCACACCAGCTTCTGAACACCCTGCTCCAAAGCATTGCACGGGAGGATCTAGTGCAAGCATTCTCCTGTATGCTCTTTGCTTTGCCAACGAGGGAAACCAAACAGGTGATTAGGAACCAATGGAAACACAAGAATTGCACTTGCATTGGCTCCAAACTGTTTCAATAGAAACCCCTTCTTCTGTCCCTATTGGAAATATATTCTTCACTTTGAGGCCCATTCTCCAGCCATTATGAACCTCTCTCATTACCAGTATTAGAATTATCCACACACATCAGCTGGAGATACAGCCCATATTTATTTTCTTTTTGCTGCAGGGGTGGCAGAGGAGTGTCCATATGGAGTATTTAAAGAGAAGCCATAGTGACAGTAAAATCCTTGTGGTATTCTGAGTGATAGCAGCTTACTGTCTAAAATAAGATTTCTCTTCTTTTTGCTCTTGTTAGCCTGCAAAAGTAACACAGCTAACAGTGAGTCGATTTCTATTTTGCCTTATGAATCAATAGAATTGTTTACTAGGTGCCAATTACAGGGACCAGTTTTGCCTTGAAGACCTGACTGAAGACAATGGCTTAGCATGGGTGTAACAGAGGGTATTATTTGGTTTGTGCAATTTGTAAAATGCATGAGCCAGAAAGAACCCAGCGGGACTTTTAAACTCCAGGGTAAGTTTTCAGCACTGGCAGTTAGAAAACCCTGATCTTTTTACTTGTAAGAGGAGTAAATTCTAATCTAAAGTCATTGAGAGGCAATAAATATAGAGAATCATGATGCCAATTTCACAGAGTCACCATTTGCAGTAAAGCTTCACTTTAAGGGAATGTAAATAAGCTTAGATGCAAAGAGGCATCTCCCACTGTTCACTAGGAACAATCACTAGCGTTGAACTATTGTATTTACACAAAGATATGTTTATCCTAAAACCTAACTAATTTGCTCATTTTCTATTAACGGAATACCACTCTTGGCATTTGGGATTCCTTAACCCCATCAGAAGAGCACTGCAAAGCAAACCAAAACTAAGTCTGATAATTCTTACAGAGCAACTCACCTCATCTCTGAGTATATCACTAACTGAAGAAGCAGTGTTTAAGCTGATCTGTGACTGGCTGCTTATCCCACTGTCTTCTCTCAGGTATTCATTGTCCAATGAGTGCACAGAAAGCAAGAGAGTACCCCTGGGCTTCAGTGTCTTTGGCCTCTCGGGTGCCTCTAAATTGCTGTCGATAACAGAGCTGTTCCCAAGAGAAATCATGGAAGTGGCACTTATTCTCCCGGGATAACGGAAACTCTTGCGTTGAGAGCCAGGTCTTGGACTTTGTGGTTTAGGGCTCATGGGCCGACAAGGCATGTCTTTACCTTCATATGTCGATAACTGGGGGCAAGAGGGGCTTAGCTGAGTAAACGGTGATTGCAGGTCACTGGGGCTAAAGGGAGATCTCAGCCAGTATTCCTCAGAAGTATCTGAGCTGTTGACCATTGTTTCCTGCTGCTCAGCATAGTCTGGGTATTCTGGACATTTGATAGTCAGATCATAGGATAGTACTCTTTTTCTTCTCATATCTATAGGTGTAGAGACCTCAATGGATTCCACAGAGGTGTCAGAATGGTTGGCATCCGTGGAAGTGGCATTAAACTCATATGAGCTCAAATATGCTTGTCCATTAGAGCTCTCCTGCTTCTCTGTGGATGTTCTTCGTGTAACATTACCAGGACCTTGCTGGTGGCCCCTGGTTGTTTTAAGACTCTCCTGTGATGGTGATAAACTTGCTAAGGTTGGCTTTTTCAGTCCATCAGCCTCCCTGCTTTTCAGAAATGCTTTCCAGGAGCTTTGGCGAAGCTTGGCTTTCTCCTTTTCATGTTTCAGTGATCCTTTGGGACTCTGTTCAGGATTTTCCTTTTCCAGGGATTTGGATTCAAAGAAACTTGAGAAGGATTTATGCGCCAAGGCCAGTCTTGTCCTGAATTTTTTACCCTCTGGGTTTTTGTTTCTTTTATACTCATTCTCACTCAGGGATTTCCTCACCCCAGAATACTGTGGCACTTCACTGTCATTATTTTCAACTGATTCTAAGACTTGTGCTTCAGAGTGTTTGACATTCAACGAGGGGGAAGTAGAATTTGTGTCTATGTTGTCCATCAGTATCCGACCAGAGCCAGAAGCCTTCCTCAGGCTGATTCTGCTGAACAATCCAGCAGGTCTTTCATAAAATAAGTCGTCATCATCAGAATATTCAGAGGTGTAGCTTTCCTTTCTTTGGAAGGCAGAACTGGGTGAACTGCTTTTAAAAGACTGCAAGCTTTCTGTGTCTTCATCCTCTTTCCCAGCATCAAGTTCTTCTGTCTTTGTCTTGCTGCCAAAGAAGCTGCTGCTACCTTGCTTTTCAGCAGCCGCTGTCTTGGTTTTCTTGAAAGATGCCATTTTTGAGAACACTAAAAACTTGGAAGGTTTCCCAGTCTTGGTCTGCTTCTGCACAGCTTTATAGAGACTGCTGTTACTCCCCAAGAAATGGAACGAATTCTCATCCATCTCCTCACTGTTAGCACTGCTAGTGCTTACATTATCTAGACCCAGGGCAGAGGCCTCTTGGCTCTCCGTTTTCACTATACAGTTAAAGGCATCGGTCTCATTTGGATTCTGTTCATTGTCTTTGCTAAGGCTCGCCAGCTCCTCCACAGTAGAGCCCAGCTTTAGTTCTCTGCTGGGAGAATCTTCACCAATGCCTATTTGTTCCTTCGAAATATTACAGCTTTCAGTTTCTTTCTTTTCTAGCCTGTGTACGCAAGAGATGATGCTCCCGAAGGTGTCACCATCAGCACCATCTCCCTGACACAGGCCACTAATCCTGTTCTTTTCCAGTGCTGTTGCGCTAGTTCCACATATATCTTGCTCTAGGCCTTGACTTGTATTGAACTCATTTTCCTCAGTCACTTTGCTGCCTCTTGTTTCAAAGAGTGATTTTTTTAGCAGCTCTGTTTCTGACTGCACCCCAGCATTAGTTCTGCAGGGCTCTACCTGAGAGATTCCCCCAATAGTTATGCCAGGTGATTTCAAATGTGCTCCAATGCATGCATCTGCCTTTTCTTTCGAGGGAACGGTAGCATCTTCCAAGTGTAAATTAGCCCCACTGTATTCATTTTTTATAGTGGTTACCGGGAAGACACTGCAGCTGAGTTTTAAAGACAAATCTGGATCTGTTCTCTCCACTTGCTGCTGCACAATTTCTGATTCTTCTTGCCCTGTGCTTCCAGCAGCGGTCACCTCTTCATTGCCAGAGATGGGCTGTATGGGCAGAGTTTGCTCTTCAAGGCTGGAATATGCATTCAGATCTCTCTGTGATTCATTGGGTTCTTTGCTGGCAACGGGATGAGACCCCAAATCCTCATTGGCTAGTTCTCCTAACGTTCCAGTTATTATTCCAGCAGGACGGTCATCGTTCAGCATCTTGGACTGCAAGCCCTTCTCCTCCACAGATATTATAATCAGAGCAGGTTTTAACTCTGAGAGCTTCATCAACTTTTTCCCCTGGTGCATGTAATGTGGTTTGGTAGCTATTTCAACAGAACAGGCATCAACACCATCATTCTCATCCTTTTTTCCTGCATCAGCGAGATGTCCATTTGTTGTTACAAGCTCAGAGTGACCCTGTAAGGCACTGTTTTTGCAATTCAGGTTTTGCAGCATCGAAACGTCCTGCTCTCCTGCAATGTCTTGGCCACCAGAGTTCAGTGTAGCCTCCAGGGATTTCCAACCCAAATTCAGTTCAGAAGAATCCTCTGAATCTCTTTCTTCCACACAAGCCTCAGTACTTGGTGATTCAGGGCCGCTCTCCTCCAAGTTGTTCAGCTGTGTTTTACCAGCTGGGCCATAGTTTGCTAAATAGTTATCACCTTTGTTTTCTGCAACGGCAGAAACACCTACAAGACAAGTTGCTTGGTCCTCACTGATGCCAGATTCAGAGTTAATGCTGTGAGAGAACCCGTGCACTTTGAAACCCCTCTCAGATTTGCATTTAGCTTTTCTTACCTCTCCTTCAGCATTTACGCTCATTGGCTCTGAAGCCAAGGCAGAGGGGGTCTCCCTTTCTATTGAATCCCACTCAGAGGTATCTCTCAGTTGGAGCTGTGCTGAAGATAAGCCATCAGCACACATGTCTGCTTCTGTGTTAAGGCCACATGTCTCTGATTCAGTGTGCAAATTAGCTTCAGCACTTTGCTGGGAGCCCGCTGGATGAGATAGCTGACTGTTATTTGAGTCTAGGCAGGTATTAAGAAGTGATCCTTTTATGCCAAATTTCCCCTCCACTTTTATTGCTTTTTCAGAGCTCCCACCAACCCTTTCTATGTTTTTCCAGGTGTACTCAAAACCCAATCCTTCAAGATGTATCCTGGAACATGACAATCTTAATTTATCTGTAAGCTGAATGCAGTTACCTAAGTAGTCTCTCTCGCCCCCGGCATTTATGTTTTCAGGTGCACTGTGCCATGTTTTACTTTCTTTGATCTCTGGCCTCATGTGTGGAAGCTGAAATTTGGATTTTAGGCAGGGCTGGTAGAAGAGTGAATCCGTTTTAAGGGTGGCCCCTGGAGTTCTGTTTCTTGTCTTTGTAGCTGTAGTTTCCTCATTGTTAACTGAGTTCCTCTGACTGCATTTTATGTTGGATCTAGAATCTAGTTCATAGTGAAATTCAAATGCCTCAGAGTTTCTTTTACTGTCAGTTCTATTTGTTTCAAAATTAATATTAGGCAAACTATGGCTTGATCCTACATCTGGCTGCAAAGGAAATTGCTGAGTCTTGGGAAAAGTCAAACAGCTTTCAGAGTTTGCTTTCAGACAAGCAATGCTTAATCCTGCTGGACTTTTTTTACTCTTTGCAATAGCATCTTCAGCTGGTTCTGAGCTGGCACAGGATTGCACTTTATTGTTTTCAGACTTTGCTTCACCTTGCAATCCATCCACTACCAATTTAGTCTCTGTCTTAGATATAGTGTCCTCTCCACTAGTGCCAGACCCAGTATTGGAGGGTTCACTAGTTAATATTAGTTCTTCGTCTTCTTCTCTTCTCGATTTTGTAGTCTGTATCCAAAATTCACTTTTACTTGGTGCTACTTTTAAATCAGAAGACAACTCCAATTGTGCCTTTTGACTCAACTCCAGTTGGCTCATGCAATGAAGTTTATGAGAGGGTATTTCTGCATTGGTATCAGGAAAAGTATGGCATGGTTCTTTTTTTTCAGCAGAAAGGCAGTTTGAACTTAAGCAAGTTTCTCCACTTATGTCACTGGCAACAGACTCTGTGTCTGACACACTTTCATAAGGCTCAGTCTTTATGTCAGACAAGGATTCACTCTGATGAGATTGGGTCTCAAAATAATCTTCATCTGTTTCCTGGCTTGACCCACGTATCTCCAACTCTACCGTGCTTGGGGCAGAAGAACTCTGGTCATCTTCAAACTGTCCTTCAGTGATGTAGTTTTCAGTTGGCTCTGGGGTCTACAATAAAAAGACCAAAATTAGTCAAGAATGAATTCAGCAGCTGAGTATCAGAGAGAAAGATGTTTCTCTCTATGATATTTCTAGAAAGAAATAATGTGTTGGGATTTAAACACAATAAAGATACATGCAATACAGGATATACCCCTTTCCTCAGCGATTATAGCGGATGTTTGCACAGGGTTGGACTTGATGCCCTTATGTCTTTACTATAAACTATTTTTAATAATATAGCATCCAAAATGTGGCAGAAGCTCCAAAGACTTATGATCATTTGCACCCTTCCAATACAAAGGCACTTTTCACATTTTACATAAATCAAATTAACATCATTCCTTCCATGTAAAAACTATTAGTGAATCCACCTCTGAATCTCAGCAGAGATTTACTGCACAAACCAGGGGCATAGATATTACTATCCAATTCTGTAACCAGTGCTTCATGTGGGTGGGGCTGAGGGTAGGATTGCAGACCTGGCTTTTTTTAAAAAAAATCATGCCAAAGCACTTTAAGCACTGTCTTACCAAAGCTGATGCTCCAAGATGATCAGAGACCCCCCTACTTTTTTCAGCCCACTTTTAATACTCTTTAGAACACAGTGTCATTAGTTGTTTGGACACGGGTGTGAACCAAGTTTGAAAGTGATGTTTGAACTCAGTTTAGGGAGAGACCAAGAGTCATCAGCACATCAAGTACTGGATCAAGCCCAGCTCAGCTGCTTACAGGAAGAGAGATTAAAACAACACTGTCAACCTCAGGGATAAGTCTTTGTCCTAAATGAGCCTGCTTAAAGGGCCAACTATCAGAGGTCTCGTCTTTTTCCGTTTTTTACCATCAGAATGCAAGCTGAAACTTCC